TGTAAATGATTGGATTCAGTAATGAGTTTAGATATCCTAACCATAAGAAAAAACTCGATATATATTTGTTTGGCTCGATTGGCGGGTATATCGGTATCAGTACTGCCATCACGAAGAACGGCGCCCAGCACATCACAAACACACCTTGGTACAAATTATGATATCAGGGTAATTAGAAAATAGTGCATGGTTAATTTAATTATAATGAAAACCTGTGATTATGGCCAGAGTTTTGGCCGCTTTTCGCTCCCTTTTGGACTCCAGTGACTCCTTATTAGTGGCCTTTTTGTGTTGAGCCTTAACTGTGTTTTGGGCGAGAGTTGAGCTGATCTTATGGTTGGAACTGGAGGTGGGATTTGGATTATTATTGGACCCATTGGTGGTTAAAGTGGTCCGATTGGGACTCAAGTGTTGCTGCATTTGTTGCAATTGAATCTCTTTGTCGTTATGTTGTTTACACTGAGTGTCCGTTAATTCATCGGTAGTTGTGTTCATATCGTCGTTAATGCTATTCATGTTTTGCGACGAAGGACTCGGCGCTAAGGGTCGGGGCGTTTGAGCGCTGCTCACCGGTGCCACCAGTTTGCCCGGCTTACGGCGGATCCGCTTTCTCGCCACCTATGCGTTCAATAAGTTATTATTATAAAGTTTAAGTACAAATATTTTTATTATGTAATATAAGGGAAGATTTGATTTTAGTTTTTACTGCTTTATTCATGCATTTTCGCAAACAATTATTATTAAATTCATTGCATGTAATAACAGAGAATAACTGAATACACAGAATATTCTGTGTCTATATATGCAAAATAATAATCTAATAATTTATGGACAAAAATAGTACACAAATCCAAAGTTCATAAGTCAGATCCTAATTATGTCTTTCGGTGTAAATGCTATTATAGTTTTGTTTTTGCTTATGATTTGTGTCTTCAATATTTATATAACGCTATATATTCGCCACTTAAACAACTGTCGGCTGACTATTCACTTGTCTCTCATTCAATCTCAACGCTAATTAGTGCTAATAAACTGAAAATAGTGTGACCAGCTTTGGCTTTTAAATGTGTAAAATGTGCATGTAACGTTATTTTAAATAAAAATATACAGTTGTTTATAATGCGTCAAATGAATAATTAAAATATAAACTATGCAAATCTTTTATTTTTGATATTTTAATGCTTTTGAATAATATATTACCCTATTTTTATTTTTAAATAATAAAATACTTTATATTTCAACTAGAATAATCAGATGTATTTAAATATATGTTTTCCATTCGTGACTAAAATAAACAATAATTATTTTATGGTAAAAATAAAAATACATAATGATTACTATAAATGTAATATACACATGTGCTGTACAGTATATTATTTAGATGGATAATACCAAGAGCGTATAAGTATGCCTGTTATAATAAACATGATATGTTTTGTTGGAATTATTCCACAATAAATATTATAACAAAAATGATGTCTATAATGAATATACGAAGAATTTGGTGAATGTATTTAACAAGCATTGAAACAAACAGCAAAACACCAATCAGTGTCAGGAATATTCTGTACATCTATTAAAATAATGACAAATATTGACAATATTTGACGCAAAGACACACAAGAATAACACATTTCGCTAATTATACTAATTGTGAAGACCGGCGAAAATAGACCAAAAAGTTTGTTTTATATATTATTAGTTATAATTACGATTTTTGTGACACAAAACTGTTCAATCAAATAAATGAATGAAATATTTGCAATTATTGGACAGAATTTCTCGGAACCATTCATTCCTATCAATTCTTTAAATAATTAATTAGTGAATCCCAAACAAAACAACAATACATAAGATTATTATATAATTCATACATAAAATTAATTATTTCAATGCAAATATTATTAGACTATACGAAAACTTACAAAACACTACAACTAATAATCTCAGTAATCATTGACTAGAAATGATATGTTTACAAAAATTACAAACATCTCAATAATAATATCAATTGTAACGTAAATACGGGTTTCGGACAAACATGTAAATAACAGTTGAATAACCATTCGCTCAATAAATACCTGAAATATTTTCCAATAGAGCGCTAATATGAAGACAAGTGGTCCGTAAAACGTGGCGATTGTGGCGAAGATCTGATATCCGATGTC